CCCCCACTTGCTCAGGTCTGGCTTTTACCTTCTGAATTGGTTGGCATGGGTTTTCAAAAGAAAAAAAACATTGTTGCCTAAATGTCTATTGAGCTGTCTTTTTCTGTTGGTCAGTGACATTGCTGATCAGGTGTTTGGTTCTGTTATTGCTTTTTCTAATGTTTTTAGAAAGCTTTAGTGTTGCTTACGTGTTGGGCATATTGCTACTGTATTGTGCATGTCTGCCCATCTTTTTTTTTTTTGTATTCCATTTGATATGCTCGTTTTAGTTTTTGGGTTTTATTCACCCCTTGCTTAAAATATTCAGATGCAACAGTTTAGAAAGTTCCAATATGTATATTTTCTCCCGCACAGTCAAGGACATTGATGGGCGGCCGCTCAGAACGAAATGAATACCTTCTGCTTCATGCTTTCTATGAAAATGATTTCTTGGTGCCTGACAAGCAGTTTAACAAGAAAAATCAGCAGACTGTGGTAAGATTCCTTTCAGTACATTTTAAGGCTTTGCCTGAAAGCTTGTTTATTAGTGAAATTAAACTGTTTTCTGTTAATTGTGTAGAACAGGGGTGCCCATTAGGTAGATCGTGATCTACCAGTAGCTCTCAGTTGATGCTGGTAGATCACGAAGGGTGGGAATGGTGGCCACTATATTCCATTTTACTATATTTATTTAGTTGTGCACACATGATTACCTATTAGCCTGAGTCTATTGAGCCAAGCTCCTGACACCTTTCTGGTGGACACTGTTGGTTGAAGTGCTATGTATTACATCAAAGAATATTAGTTTATACAGCCTGTTGCACTACACTGTTTGCAAAATACAGCAAGGTGAGCCAGGAGAGAGAGCGGGGAGAGACAGCCAGGGGAGAGAGCGGGGAGAGACAGCCAGGGGAGAGAGCAAGGAGAGACAGCCAGGAAAGAGAGGGGAGACATCCAGGAGAGAAAACGAGGACTGAAAGCTATGAGAGAGCGAGGGAGGCTTTTTTTTTTATTCGTTGGTAGATCTCCTGTAGTTTGTCATTTGAAAAGTAGATCTTAACACAAAAATCGTGGGCACCCCTGGTGTAGAAGCACGTATTTCCTGCGTTTGTGAATGACACTGGGCATTAAAGTTCTTCTAATGCCAAAACATTTTTTTCCACTGGGATAAGCGTAGGGAATGGTTAAAAAGCCCTGTTAGGTGTGGTTTGCTTATTTTTTGTTTTGTCTACTCATTAGGGAGATTTCCCTTAGTGTCCTTTTTGAGACACACACACCAGCAATTAAGTAAATCCCTTCAATGAGAGTACAAGGGTAGCGGAAGACTCCAATATATTCCTATTCCTTTTGTAAATTTGGGATATTTCAATCAATTCCAAAGACATGCTGGAAGGTTAATTGGCTTCTATCCAAATTGGCCCTGTATGCATGCAAAATAATCAGGGACCTCAGATTGTAAGCTCCTCGAAAGCAGGGACTGATGTGAATGTGTAAAGCGCTGTGTAAATTGTTGCCACTATATAAATACCAATAATCAATTGACAGTGACCACCAGGACAAATAGAGATGATAAATCTCCCCACCAGACACACAGTGATAAAAGCCTTAAATGGGCTCTAAACCTTCCTCACTATCCAAATCCCCCCCTAAAAAACACAGAAAAACTTTTGGCTTTAAACAATGCAATAATTAGATTGAGGAAACGAGGCCTACATTTTTATGAGCAGCCAGAAAAGCAGTGGCTTATGCAGTTAAGCTTTTTGCATTCCTTTTGAGCAGCATAGTTATCTTATTGCATTTTAACAGGTCCCTTCATAGTTTACCCAATAGCAATCAAGCAGGTTGTTGAGAAGGCTACAGGGCCCTACTCAGGGGAAACTATTTGAAGTACCCTATCTTTAGTGTGCATGGCTTTTTGCTTTTAGGTTCCTTTGAGTTTTTACCCTCCATTGTTCTTTTGAACAGTCTGTGCATTTTACTGTAGTGGTTGGAGACCCCAACTATATCTGGATACGCTTTGATGATTCCACAAAAAAAGGAACATGAATCCACTTAAATGCAGTAGAAAAATGCCAATAAACATTCCCCTGAAATGATGGATAAGAATGGTCTTGCTTGCATTCCCAGCGAACAATGGTGGCCTTTGGACGTTGCGATCATCGGGATCTGCCCATCATATGTGTTTCTTGGTTTGTGAATGATTTCCGGAAACGGTCCCTCTGGATGGTAGACCATGGATTATATGCAGAATTATTGAAGTAGCTACCAGTGTGGAGTTTGCTACTCCTTTTTTTTCTGATTTAGTTGCACAAAGCGTTGTCTACGTAGACTAGCAATTTGTACCCTTTTTTGGATGAAAACGACGATGAAATGTGTCAAGGCAACCTGCCATCAACCCGGTTATGTAGATTAATTTAAAGATTTAATGGTGACTGGTTGGTTTTCTTTTTTTTTTTTTGTCAGCAGGGACAGCCAGTAACAAATGAAGTGACGTGTTGGACTTTGTTTTTGGAAAGTAAATGAAGCTTAAAGCAAGAAGGAGCTTTAAGGGTCTTGGATACTTTTCATGAGAATATTTCACTTATGAAAATCTAAAAATCATTCTCTATTTTAATTGGCAACTATGTTCTCTGTGAAGTCTTGAAGATGAACAAGTCAATGTTTAAATTCGAGAAGGCCTTTAAAATCAGTGTCATAGTAGTGGTTTGCAAAAGTGACTAAATGGATTTTAATATGTAACCTATATACAACTTTTATTGCTTTTGATTCATTAAACTGACTCCCCCCCCCCCCCCCCCCCGCCACACTAATTTTTACAAAAGAATAACCAATTTAATTTTTATATAGAGCCATATTTAGCAGAGCTCTAAGTGAAACTATGAGCCATCAGGAAAAAGTATTGTTTGTATGAATATCATACACCAAAAGCAAACTGGAAACAGGCAAATGCTTGTAACAGAAACTGAACTTGGGATCCCAATTTTGCAAATGCATAGTGCAAACCATTGTTCCACCACATTTCCTGTATCTGAATATGGTTATGGCTGTGTGTATTACAGGTAGCGGATGATCAAGACATGGATACAGATCAAAATAAAAACAAGAAAGGCCGGAAGAAGGCTGCATACGCTGGTGGCTTAGTTCTGGACCCTAAAGTTGGTGAGAAATGCATTTTGGTTTTTTTTTCTCAGTTAGTTTGCAGCAGTCTTGGTAAATTTACCACAATGAAACCAGACAGACTCTGGAGCAGCTGTGTGTAGTAACCAATCAGCTTCGAGCTTCAGCTTGTTCAGTTAAGCTTTGAAAATGAAAGAAGCTGATTGGCTGCTGCTCCAGATTGTCTCCGAAATGTAATCAGTTTATTGTTTTTACTGTGTGCTCCTGTTGGCACGGGTTAAATTGTATGTGAACTTTTCAGTATATGAATTCATGTTCATTTACCAGAACTTTTTTATTTTTTTACAGATTTGCATTTTTTATCAGATTTGCATTTGAATGCAATTTTTTAAAACGTGCTGTATTTTATCAGAATCACATTTAAAATTCCTTTTTTGACTTGGTTTTATTGGTGGTCACATGACTGGTACATCCCCTTTGCCGCATCGAGCTCAGAGGACTTGGGAGTGGAGTCTCCTACTGAAGATTTTTAGCATCCCTACCAGGAGCTGCTGTAATGCTCTGTACGTCTTGGCAGAGGTTGTGTCACTGCAGGCATGCCGTGCTTTGGCCCAGCACCCTTTAGTTCTTATAGAAAGAAGCAAGAAAGGGCAGAGCAGAAACACGGACTACATGAGATACAGGCATGTAGTGCATCGGCACAGAGTGTGCCGATGCACTACAAAGAGTGTAATAATGCAGAAACACGCGTATTCATTTTTGGGGTAACACACACACACTTTTATTCCTTCTGTTCTTTGTAGGTTTTTATGACAAATTCATATTACTCCTGGATTTCAACAGCTTGTACCCCTCAATCATACAAGAGTATAACATCTGCTTCACCACAGTGCACCGGACAACTACTAATGGTCAGAACACAAAAGAGGTTGGTGAGATGACCCATGACAAATACAAATGTGACTATCGGCCATCTTATATGATAAATATACAAATATTTTTGAGAAAAAAATCCTTTATGCAACTTGGGCTTTGAGTGTAAGGGGTGAATTTCTAACCTGGCTTTAAAACTGGTATTTAAACAGAACTCCAAAAACTTTTTTTAGCTGGGTAAAAAAAATAGTTGAGGTGTATGCCACCTCTACCATCGCTGCCCTTTTTCATTTATATTTTTCTTTACTGGAAGTATAGCTATCTCTGTTCAGGCACTGAGTGATTGTTGTCTCTTACACTCATGGCGTACTGTTATTTATCCATTCCTCCTCTCCCCTAGTCCATTCTCAGAATGCTTTGTATTCTGTAAATGGGTTCACAGAAGACAAAGCAGGAACCCATTAAAAGTACACCCAAGAGGAGAGGTGGATAGTCGGCTTGTGTGTAGGAGAGACCCAACTCTCCTGTTGCGGTACTGGAATTTATAGAGATAGCTGTACTTCCTGCCATTGAGAAAAAGAAAGCCATGTTAAAGAATTGGTAACCAGTTGTGGAGGTTGCATACATCTCATTACTGTTAATGGTTGCACAGCACATATTTTTTTTTTTTTTCTGGAGTCTTTTTTAAGTTGAATAGGTTTGCACCGCTTCATGTTTAACTGAGGACTTGTTCACACCAAATCCAGACTAAATCTGCATGAGTTTCTGCACATTGCGTGCAGTGTGTTTTGCTGTGTTTGTCACGTTCGGGGCAGTTTAAAAAAAACAAACAAAAAACGATTTTAGTGCGTTCGCATGCATTTTTGGTGTGTTCCAGAGCAGAAAAAAAGGGCATGCTGCAGTTTTTCCAAATGCTCGAACTAAACGCTGTGGTGTGAACTAGAGCCCAAAATACCATTTGTAATACATTGGATGCGTTTTTGATGCGTTCTGTAACGGCTCTGCTCTGCATCTGCTCCACACTTGGTGTGAACAAGCCCTGAAGGTTAGTTTGTCATCTAATGTCTGCACATAGCTTTTAAGTCTAGCCTAATTTGTTCTGGTGTGATGATTCTTTATTGTTAGTGCTGGGCTTGCACTACCATTCTAGGTAGTATGAACATGGGCAGACAGTTTCATCATGGTTTAATTCATTGTTGCTATCTCAATCTGGCGCCTGTTACTTTTTAAATCTGATTAAATGTGAATTGTTTTGTTAATGTTCTGGTTTAGTCTAAGGTTTACATGCTTTTGTGTTTACAATTTAAGGTAGTGCTACTAACAGACATAGTTTTACCCCAGCCTTGTAACCCTTTTGTTGAGATGTATATTGAGCGATAAAGGGAAGTTTAAATACAAAACAGACATTTTCCTTTACTTTGGCATCGTCTTTGTACTGATGAGAGGTTCAAATGTCTAGTGTAAAGCTTGCACCCTTCCGTAAATTGCCCCCTAAGGGCTATGTTTAACCCTCAGGTGCTTAGCCATAAGCAGGAATTAAAGTCTTATTTACTTTGCATACTAGCATCAGCACTAAAATTCGAGTGTACTTTATACCTGCCAACATACATCTAAATTGGCTTATGCTTGAAAAAGCTAAATCTTGCGTACTTGCAGGAAGCAAAGGGTTAATTATACATCTATCTAGTCCGCAACAAGCAATGTTTTTTTTTCCCCCCCTTTTATGAATAAAATTGCTGCATTTTTGTCCCTGAAAGCAGTCTGCTAGATTCTGATTTTTCTTTTTTGGCTGCTTGGCGTCTTGCAAGATAATCAGCACATTTGAGCAGGAACAGCGATTTAGGACAGATTATTGCTGCTAGGGGCTAGCGAGTGTTGGTGATTAAGAATCATGACTGTTAGGAGTGAGAAGGAAGCTGAATTAAGGATTACGCTGCATAATGGTTTACCTTGTGTTTGCAGGGTGAAGATCAAGATGAAATTCCAGAGCTGCCTCATTCAGATCTAGAGATGGGAATCTTACCTCGGGAGATCCGGAAACTGGTGGAGAGAAGACGTCATGTCAAGCAACTGATGAAACAGCCTGACCTGAATCCTGACTTGTATTTGCAGGTAATTATGTACAGAGGGCCTGTTCTGACAGACCTAGGAGTGCCTTGTTGTATGCTTCATATTCCTAAACATTTCCAAGCTGTTTTCTAGTTTTGTTCTGCTTTCAATATACATGTTACTCTGTCATTTGTGAAAACGAGCAATTTGTGTAGTTCACCTGTTTATTTTTAATGTGCTTCTGTGATCTAACAAGAGACAGAATAATTTCTTCCATCTTTATTAACATAATGAGGGCAATGTTGTTTTTCACTGAATTATGGCAGTACTATGTTTTATTTCATCTGCTATTGTATTTGACTTTTTTAAGGTTGTTTTTTAAATGATTACACATTTTGCTGACTGGTAATGATTTTAATGTGCCCTCCCAATGAATATACAGCATCTGTGCTATTGTGCACTTTGAATCTTCATGGGTTTACGTTACCGACCACCTTATGTTCATCAATATTGTTGGGACAATAGTCATTCTGTTTGTCTCTTTTGTTTATTTTTTATTTCAGTATGACATCAGACAGAAGGCTCTGAAGCTCACTGCCAACAGTATGTATGGATGTTTAGGATTTTCATACAGTAGATTCTATGCCAAACCCTTGGCTGCGCTGGTCACTCACCAAGGAAGAGAGGTGAGTTTATCCCTGAATTCTGTCTTCTGACTTGCTTGTACTTGAAGACCATGCTTTTATTGTAAAAGAACTGTTTACATCTGATTCCCAGTGCCTTCAATGCTCTGCCCATTTTTGGCACTTCAGTATGTAGATTGCAAGCTCTTTGGGGCGTGCTGTGACATGTTTGGAAACTAAATTTTATAAGAGGCTGTGTTTTGTAGTACACAAATAAAATATGCAGCACAGTCTCTTACAGCATATTATGAATCAAAGGTCAGTGTGAAAAAACCTCCCAATTATATTTCAGAAGTTTACATTGGTGCCTAATTCAGTGCAGCAGAACTAATGTTTTTCGAAGATATTTCGCGGAACCTGAGAAGTAAAGCAATTTTGGCAAAGGGATATTTTAGTAACTAAAAGACTAATTGAATTTGTTTTTGGAAAAAAAAAAAAAGTTGTGAAATTTCCTCTTATCAAATTCTTTTCTTTCCCCCTTCATTTTTTTCAAGAAAAAGTATGAATTGCGGTGATTTCTTATTTATCATTATTTTAGAATTGTTCAAATGAATTTTTTGTTTTTTTTAATGTTTGGTTGTGTTCCTAAATGCTAAGACACTTAATAGTTTTTGCCAGTCTTCCTACAAACCTAACTGATAGGATATACCCCACAGTGACTCTTCCCAGCCAAGATCAATTATATACAGAAGTACAAATTAGTGGTTTGCCAATGATCAGATGCCTATACAGTTTTGCTCACCCTCGCAGATCACTAGATGTTACACTAGGTGGCGATAGATGCTTTGCAATCATTAAACAATTAAGAGATTTCATGCATCTGAACTTTTGTTTTCACTGCTAAGGAGTCCTGTAATAAAGCATTAAAAGGCTCCAATTATCTTTTCTTTTTTTTTTTTGGTCTGGCTCTTTCCACAAATGGATTCTATGCTAAATCAAAAATTATTATAAAATCAGCAACATTTTATTTATCGTAGGAAATGGCCTAATGCTTGTGCTGTTGTATTGTATTTAATTGGGGGGATTTGAATGCTGGGTAGACAATAGTTTTTGGGAAGTTTTTAATTCGAAGTGATATTTGGAACTTGTAGCACAAGACTATTGCTAATAGCAGACTCTATAATTTCTGCACTAGTGCATTAATGCAGTGCCTGAATATAAAAATACAAAAGACTAGAAAGATGTGAATATTTACATTATCTACAAAAGTTACGGCTTTAGGGGTGGCCAAGGATCGTAAAAGAAGGTCAAACTCTTTTGGGACCCCTTTTTCATTTCCCCCCCCTTTTGATTATTTACATTCTGGTAATCAATATGTCAGAGTTGAATCATAAGGCAGCTGCATCTAGATATACTGTATGTCCTTACATCTGATACATCATTATTGTTTTATAATTTGCCAGCAGATTTTTCAGTTGTTCAGTAATGGTTGTAGGTATCTTATTCCAGTTTTGTATACTGGTGCCAGTTTTTTTTGCCCTGCAGCTGTCTTCCATAATTTTTTTTTTTTCCCCTTCAGATGTCAATTTTTTTAATTGTTACGTTTAGACTTATTTTGGCATTTGAATGGAGCAAGTCCAGTACCTGTGATGCACACTGTTCAGTGAAGTGACTTTTGGTCACCAAGTATTTTTAGTTTTAGTAACTTTTTTTTTAATTTCATACATTGATAATTTGGTATTTTCATCCTCATAAAGGGGATCTGTTGGAGTTAGTTGCTACTCTATTGCTTACTACCTTTACCCAACACTCTACTGACACAATGTGATGTGCATGCACATGACGGGACATTATTGACTCTGCCACGGAACGTATAGGTGGAAACTTTACTCCTGCAGCATATTTTTGCTCAGAAACAAGACATGAAAACACTATAGTAAGCTAATGAACAGAAAATATTGGCCTGTACAGGCAGACCATCTTCCCTGCTTTCTAACATACAGCCACCAGACCTGGAAGTGTAGGTAATGCAGCATGCTATCACATACTGTAGCTGCCATGCTAAGCTTTACTGTACATTTCTGGGAAACCTAAATGGAAAGGTTTCGGTTTGTTCACACATCCAGTGCAGGGTTAACCACTAATTGGTTGTGACATATGTTGTATGTGTGTGCCTGTAGAGGTGATTGGTTAGGGCTGCAGCTAATGATTACTTTCATAATCGATTAGTTGGCCGATTTATTTTTTCAACTAATTGGTTGCATTAAAAAAATCTCTCTCTCTCTCCCCTCTCTTCTCTTCTCTCCTCTCCTTCTCCTCCTCCTTCTCCTCTCCTCTCCCCCCAAACTAACTGATAATGAGAGTAGTTGCCAACTATTCTCATCGATTATCGATGTTGCAGCCCTATATTCAGTAACGCTATATTATACTGCAGCGGTCACTTAAAATCTTAGGTGCTCTGTACTGGAAATGCGCATCGTGTTTCATGCGGTTTTTCCTGCATTTGCTGTGTGTTGCCCATTGATTTTAATGGGTGCAGCGTGTGCAACAAATGTGGGAAGGTAGCATATATGGCAGATTCCGTCAAGCTTTTTTTCTGTGCGTTTGAATACCCTCAAACACAAAGGGAAAAATTGTGTTTTCAAGCCCTCAAATGGCTGTTATACTTGGTCATGTGAAATACCAATGGCGAAGATGGCACAGTCCTCTGCTACAAATATTGGGCGTTTTTGGTTCTGCTTTAAAATGATGAAATTGAATATAGTTCTTAAATAAAAAATTCCCACATCAGTAAAAAACCTGGTGGGAGGGGACCTTTCCAGTCCAGAAAAAAAAAAATCTCATCTAAATCTTTAATAAAGGTAAACATTTAATCTACAGTGCATATTTAACCATGCCTTCCAGATTTTCACCAACATCCATCCGGCATCTCTGTTTCACCCCAACCTGTGATTGGACAGGGAACTAGTGATATAGATCACTGGTAAAGTAAAGTTGATTGTATTGTAAAGCGTGTTGCTTTATTATATTGGACTGTCACTTTGCTGAATTGACACATGTGGCGCTGCCCTTTAGTTTTTTTTTCTTCACTGATCCTTGTGACCAAGTCACCTCTGCATCAACAGATATTCTTATTCATTCATATGTTTGTGTTCTCAGGAGAAATAGTTTTTACCTTCTAATCATAATATCCATGCACTTTGATTTTAACAGTGGTCTCTGTGCCTAAATATTTATGGCATCCATACAACTACTGATGCAGGTGCAATGGGAAGATGGTATTTTCATACTATTTTCCAATTTACTTCAGTACTTGTCATTTTATTGGGCTAGCATTTCAATTGGTGTGTGTGTGTGTATATACACACACACACACACACACACACACACACACACACACACACACACACACACACACACACACACACACACACACACACACACACACACACACACACACACATGCTTGCATGGCACCTGTATCCAGAATGATACCCAGAAACGTCAGTACCCTCAGGACCTTCAACCTTGTGGCTAGCCACTGGGACGATCAGCACCTTTGAACGTACTCAACAAGCCACCGAGGTCCCCTATCTGGTGACTCAATCAGCAGGAAGTCATCCAGATAGTATTTTTGTTGCTTTTGTCTTTTCTTTTTTTTTTTTTATGTCCTCAGCAGCTGGTCTGGATAACAAGGCAGAACCTCTTGGATAAGCCCAGCAACCTTTCTCTGTTACACAGGGCATGCCAAGCATGTATGATAGATTATCACAAAGGTCTTGCTATTGGTGGAGATTTGTTTCGCCCATGCCCTTTCTACTTCTGACACAAATGAAAGCTATACCCTCTTCACAACTGTTGCAGCCTTCCTTTTTTCCTTTTTAATTTTTATTTATAGCTTTCATTGTTCTCAGAGTTTCTCACATTAATTCGAAGATGTATAGAGACATCAGGCTCTCATAGTCCCCTGCAATAATTCCTGTTAAGAATGTGCTGCGGTAAAGATGTTACTGAAGAACAAAGTTTACAGTATGCTTAACTATTATCCCTTTGCAAAAAAATGTAATAATTATATATTCACCTTTTTAATAGTACTTGTTTTAGTAGACTGGAGATCTTCAAAAGCAGACACAGCTACAGTGATGTTATACTTGTTGCTTTTTTTTTTTTATGATCAGATTTCTTCATTTTTAAGGTTACCAAATTTTTTTTTTTTTATTGGTAAATTTAGTGCTTAGGTTCCCCCTCTGTGTGTGCCCAATCTTTTATGGTAAAGAGAATCAGTGATGTTACCAAAGGCTGCTTGCACTGCTATGGTTGTGGGACCTCAGAGCATACTCAGTGATATTTATTCAGTTTCCCCTGAACGGACTGACACTCTAGAATCTGAGAACCCCTTCACCAGAGTCTTAAACTCCATTGGATGTGGTCCCATCCCTGTCCACTTTGGACTTTGTACCCAGTTATTGTTGTCTGTACCCAGGTACTGCAGCACTCTGCCCACAGAGACTTCCATCACAATCTGATGCCATCCCTGACAGGTGCTCTCAAACCTTCACGATCCACATAAATCAAACTGTTAGAATTTCTGGTTCCGATTCACAGTCACATCAGGTCACTGTTGGAGAGGTTGTTTTTGAGCCACCTGCAAATGTCCTTTATGTGAACTGGAAACACCCTGTAGGCTTTTGGGCCCTTTGAGTGTGGCAGAGCTCTTCCACCTTGAGGATTTTTTTTTTCTCCTACAGTCTTTCCCCTTTGTTCACCTTTCACGAGTGGACAGCTGCAAACCCCCCTTAGATGCCAGTTTGAATTATCTAGAGTGGCTTTCCGCGCAGTGTTGGTGGTGACTTTAATATGCCAAGCCTTGTCCAGATGGGTAGATTCACTTAAAGCTAAACTCTAGGAGGAAGAATTTACCCAATGTCCTGGGTTTATACATTATCATTAAAAAAGTTTGTGTGAAGTGCTGTTGCAAAGTATAGAAATCTTTGCCCTAAGCATAAAAATCAATGTATTGCAATGGGCATTGTTTTCATACTATTGTGGCGGCCGCACCTCCC